CCAGATAGAACGATCCGTGAATGGGGTCTGCTGGGGCTGATATCGAGCTTCGGTTTGACGGTTGCCCGCCCTTCGTTCCACTGCGAGCTCCTACGATCCCCTGATCAAAATATCGCCTGGGATTATGTTGTTCCCGTCCTACTTAAGGACCGCATCCCAGAAATATTTCGAGCACCTGGAAAAGTGTCAAAAGAGTGTCGAAACAGTGTCGAAACAGTGTCTCCCAGGGCCCGACACGTGAAAACCCTCGATTTTTGGGGTGCGCTTGAAATTCTTCCTGGTGATCAAGAATAAAACAGGTTGGAGCATCATATGCCTGGGAATCCGTTCTGGATGCGCCCGTGGGGATACGCGAAGGACATCGTGCTGGAATCATCTCTCAGTCCGGACCTCTGCAGGCCCGCCTCGGGCCATCGGAACCGCCAGAGCGACCCACTGCGAGACACATGCCACAAGGACGACAACAACAATGACAACAACCACCACAACAACCACGACAACCAACACCACCACCACAACCACATCACCACCACCACCACCACCAATAACAACAACAACAACAACAACAATAACAACAACAACAACAACAACCACAACAACATTAACAACACTAACAACAACAACAACAACAACAACAACAACAATCATTTTACCCGAACGCTCAGTGTTCTCACCAGTGCCAGGGTTTTCATGCGACGCGAGACAATACCCCCACTTCGTGGGGGGGCAGTTCAAGCTCTACCAAATATCCAAACGACTCTTCGCGACCACCCAAACCCAGCTTCCCGCCCTATGACGTTGGGACACTTCACTTCGTGGCGTGCGGACGACCGTGGCTACTACACTGGCGTGGGGTACACACCCACAGAACTTGGTCACTTATTCGGGGCGCGCGTGTGCCCAGCATCCTGCAATTGTGACATACAATACATGACACAGACAGACAGAGAGAGAGACAGAGAGCAGACAGAGAGAGAGACAGAGAGAGCGGAGTTGGTCACATTTTTGGGGCAAGTTCCTGAGATCGTCGTGTTTTTGTTGGTCTTGCGCGCGCGAATGTCCACTTTACATTTTTTTTGCAAGGGATATTGAAATTTGATTATGTTAGAACAAGAAAAAGTAGCTCGCGCGAGCTCATGTAACATAAATGTTGAAAAACCATTGGTTTTGTGGGAGTCGGACAGCGCGCGCGGGATGAAATTTGGACATTTTTTTTGAAAAACCATTGGGTTTTTGAGGTTTTTATGTTGAAATCGTTACGAAACCTAAAAGGATTTCGTCTTGCGCGCGCGAATGTCCACTTTACCTTATTTTTTGCAAGGGATTATTGAAATTTGATTATGTTAGAACAAGAAAAAGTAGCTCGCGCGAGCTCATGTAACATAAATGTTGAAAAACCATTGGTTTTGTGGGAGTCGGACAGCGCGCGCGGGATGAAATTTGGACATTTTTTTTTGAAAAACCATTGGGTTTTTGATGTTTTTATGTTGAAATCGTTACGAAACCTAAGGTTCTGGAAGGATTTCGTCTTGCGCGCGCGAATGTCCACTTTACCTTATTTTTTGCAAGGGATTATTGAAATTTGATTATGTTAGAACAAGAAAAAGTAGCTCGCGCGAGCTCATGTAACATAAATGTTGAAAAACCATTGGTTTTGTGGGAGTCGGACAGCGCGCGCGGGATGAAATTTTGACATTTTTTTTGAAAAACCATTGGGTTTTTGATGTTTTTATGTTGAAATCGTTACGAAACCTAAGGTTCTGGAAGGATTTCGTCTTGCGCGCGCGAATGTCCACTTTACCTTATTTTTTGCAAGGGATTATTGAAATTTGATTATGTTAGAACAAAAAAAAGTAGCTCGCGCGAGCTCATGTAACATAAATGTTGAAAAACCATTGGTTTTGTGGGAGTCGGACAGCGCGCGCGGGATGAAATTTGGACATTTTTTTTTGAAAAACCATTGGGTTTTTGATGTTTTTATGTTGAAATCGTTACGAAACCTAAGGTTCTGGAAGGATTTCGTCTTGCGCGCGCGAATGTCCACTTTACCTTATTTTTTGCAAGGGATTATTGAAATTTGATTATGTTAGAACAAGAAAAAGTAGCTCGCGCGAGCTCATGTAACATAAATGTTGAAAAACCATTGGTTTTGTGGGATTCGGACAGCGCGCGCGGAAGGACATTTTGACAATTTTTTCTTAAAAAACCATTGGGTTTTTGATGTTTTTATGTTAAAATCGTTACGAAACCTAAGGTTTTGGAAGGATTTCGTCTTGCGCGCACGAATGTCCACTTTACCTTATTTTTTGCAAGGGATTCTTGCAATTTGATCAAGTAAAAACAAGAATTTTCATTTTATATTGTTTTTTGCAAGGGAAAACGAGCGTCAACAAAAAACCGGATCCGGAGCTCATCCACTTTTCTGAAGCTTTCGCGAAAAAATGATGAAAATGTAGCTGCGGCCTAGGCGCGGCGCAGAGGTCGCGCACCAGGGGTCCCAACAATAATAATTCTTTAGAAGGAATAATGTTCAACAACAACAACAACAACAACACCAACAACAACAACAACACCAACACTACCAACAACGACAACAACAACAGCAACAACAACAACGACAACAACAACAACAACACCACCAACAACAACAACAACAACAATAACAACAACAACAACGACAACAAACATGCGGAACGCAGGGCCGAGATCTCAGGCATTCCGACACCGCGTGCTGAACAACAGGACGTCGAGGGCCTGGGACGGGGGAGAGATCCAGAGAGGGACGGGGCCGATCCCAGCGAGCACGACAGCGCGGGCAGCGCAGGCTCGGACAGGTCTTTTTGTTTGAAGGGGCCCTAGGACACACAAATGAATACACACAAATCAAAGGATTCCCAATATTTTCATATATGGTCTGGGGTTTCGTCTTCCCCCCCGCTTCCCATATTTTCCCATATATTCTAGGGAATCGACGATTACTTGTGTCTGTGAGTTTCTTTCCCTCTTGATTTTTGTCCACGCAGGCAGCACTGGCAACAAGCGCGCTGGGCGGCGCCTCCCTGGAAGGCTCCAGGGCGTGAGCTCACGCTGCCCAGCTCTGCGCAGCCAGGGGGCCGTCGGAACGGGCGGCGGACGAGGAGGGGGGGGGTGGAAGGAACGAGGAGGAAGTGGACATGGTCGAGGAACAAAGAAGACAGACGGGGAGAATTGAGCAGGGACTGGCCGTTCTGGCATCCCTATAGGACTCCGAACATAGTGTTCGTAGAACCCCAAACTGTTCCAAGAACAACAACACTGGTCTTAGGACGAACCCGAGGCGCTAAACCAAGACGATCTCGGCTGGAAATGCTCCGAGAACGTTTCGCGCCAACCGCAAGAGGCTCTTAGAACATTCTTTGGTGTAGAGGCCTCCTAGATGGGGTCGGAGTAGATGGGGTCGAAAGATCGCGCCGTATCGGCGATGCATCGGCGATGCATCGGCGATGCACTGGCGATGCATCGTCGACGTCGGCGATGCATTGGCGACGTCGACCTGAAGCACATCGGGCCCTACATCGAGCCGCCTCGGCGATGCATCGGCGATGCGGCGCGATCCTCCGACCCCACCTACTCCGATCCCATCTAGGAGGCCTACATTCTATGGTGGGCCCATAGGCCAGCCGGGACGCCTCGCCACTGCCCGGGAGGAGACGCGACCTCTGCGGGAGCGGCAGCGCAGGGCGCTGCCCGCTCAGCTCCCGCCGACGCCCCCCGCCGCGCCGGCGCCGGCCGCGCCAGAGGCCCCGCCGGCCTGCCGCAGGTTGATGTCGGACACCTCGGCGCCGGTGGTGCCGAAGGTCTCCGTCAGGCAGCTGGCGGCGACGGCGTAGAGCACCAGCAGGTGGATGTAGAACACGGCGAACCTGTGATTTGGGCCAGGCCTGCCCTCCTACAGGCGGGTCTTGGGAGCAGAAAGATAAAGAAAACGGCAGCCCAGCCATGTTCAAGCCTGGCCACGCAGTTGGTGGAGACGTCGGCCCGACCAGGTGCTGACTGGTTCTGAGGCTTCCTTCTGTGAGGGACATGCCCGCCTGGAACTCGTGAATAGCAAGCAGCGCACACGCACAACAAAAAGAACCTTGAGAGGCCCGCGCGGAGGCTCCCGTCGGCCCTGGGCCGAGGGGGTCTCCGGAAGGAGCTGCGGAGGCAGCGCGGAGCTGCGAGGGGGGGCAGCGCGGGGCTGCGAGAATCGATGTGTGCGTCGATGGCTGCCCTCTTCCCAGTCCCCTCGAGTCATGAAAAACGTTCACGGCTGGAGGCTTCTCACCGGGCCGCGGGAGCGCCAAAAAGCGACTCGCGCTGAGGAGCCATGAACGGATCATGACGTCGGGGGCCCGGGCCTGCGGTGGACAAACCTCCCTTTAGAAAGCCACCCTTCGATATAAAACGGCCCAAGACCGAAACCGACGGACCCGGACCCGCAAAAACGACGGCCGCGACGCCCTCTCGCGTGGCGAAAACTGCCAATTCGCTAATCGACGTGTCAGGGTAGGAGGTCTATCAACCTCCGACTGGGTTTTCTAATGGGGGATCGACGACAACATGGATTTTCCCCCCAACTTGATGTTTCTCGTCGGGTGCATGGAAAAATGCGCACAGTTGGATCTTCCGTGTATGATACGTATTGGCTGTAGGTTCGACGTGGGAATCCGTTCTGGGGCAAATGCATTCTCTAGTCAATCCCCTACGACAGGTTCGCGTAGTGTCGACCCCTGCGAAGGTTCCTGACACCGCGGGGATCGTTCAACCTTGAACGATCGGCCGTTTCCAAAACGTTCAAATCGTTCCTCATCGAACGATGCTGGGTCGCCCGCGGCGTTCAACGTTGAACGCCGCTGGCGGGGTCGCCGCAGGTCGACACGACACGAACCTACCGTACTCTGTCTCTGAGAACCACGCGTCGTACTTCAGCAGGTTCGCCGTGAAGCCGCGCAGCGCCCGCTCGGGGATGGCGACCAGCCTCACCGCAAGCTCGCTGCGCTGCGGGCCCAGCACCGCCAGCAGCAGCGGCTCCAACTTCCGCGCCGCGTCCCCGCCGACGGGGCCCGTCGGCAGCGGCTGTCGGGATCCACCAGAGGGGGGGTGACCTGCACGGCTTTCCCCGGGGCCGTAGGCGACTTTAGGAGGAGGAGGAGGAGGAGGAGGAGGAGGAGGAGGAGGAGGAGGAGGACAAGGAGGAGGAGGAGGAGAAGGAGGAGGAGATGGAGGAGGAGAAGGAGGAGGAGGATAAGCAGGAGGAGGAGGAGGAGGAGGAGGAGGAGGAGGAGGAGGAGGGTGGAGGAGAAGGGAGGAGAATGAGGAGGAGGACAAGGAGGCAGAGGAGGAGGATGAGAAGGAAGAGGAGGAAGAGAAGAAGGACTGGTCGCATAAGCCCTTCAGAGAAACCCTCCAAGTTGACCCTGAGGGGGGGCATGAGCACGATCCGCTTGTGCACCGAGCTGCCGCAAACAGCTGCCCCCCCGCATGCCCCACCTGTCGGCAACCTTGGGGAGCTGCCTGCGGCGGAGGGGGCAACTGTGTCGGGCGGTTCTGTGCAACAGCCGATCGAGCTCTGTCTCTCTTTCTCTCTCTCTCTCTCTCTCTCTCACTCACACACACACACCAGGGCACACACACACACACACATGGGGGCACACACCCCCTCTGCGGGATCCCGAGGCTGGTACATCACTGGCCTCGCGTTCAGCTTCCGCTGCAGCGCGACGCAGCGCTTCTCCAGGGCCTCGACCCTCTCCCGCAGGGCCACCGCCTCAGAGTCCCCGCGCGCGGCCGGCGGCTGGCCCTCGGCGGGAGTGCCCGGCGGGTCGGCGCCGGCGCTCGCCGAGACGTCGGCGGCCGCCTGGTCCTGCTCGGCCCCGCCCTCCTCCAGGTCCTCCTTGGAGGGGGCCTCCCAGGTGGGGTCCGAGCAGATGGAGTCGGAGGGTCGCGCCGCAGCACCGGTGCATCGCCGAGGTGCCGGCGATGCACCGGCGACGTCGGCGATGCGTCGGCGGCGTGGGCGTGGGGAAGCACGGGCTCCACGTCGAGCGCCGCATCGGCGATGCCTCGGCGATGCGGCGCGATCCTCCGAGCCCATCTGCTCCGACCCCAGCTGGGAGGCCCAGGAGGCTCCTCCAGGTCCTCCTTGGAGGGGGCCTCCTCGTCGGACCAGGGCCGCCTCTCGCCACGGTGCTGGGAGCTCTGCGGCGCCGCCTCGTCTCCATCTCCGCGGAGCGCCGCCAGCTCCTCTGGACGCCCGAGGTGGGTGCGGCAACCAGAGACACAACGCCCAACCGCAGATGCCGTCCAAGACCGACAGCGGCCGCTGCGGGGCGCAGGCGGCTCCGTGCCTTCAGCGAAGAACGTCCGCGGCGGCGCGGACATCGAGCCCTGTCCCAGATGACCAGGAACTGCGGCTGACGACCTACCAGACCACCCCGACCCAACCCGAAGACCCGAACTTCGGGTTGGGGTTGGTACAGGTTCCACATGTGTTTTCTCCATGTTCCCCGACCCCCCCCCACTGGAAATGGATGGCAAATTGAAGCCTTCGGGTTGGGTTGGGGTGGGTTGATGGGTGGTGAGCTGCTGGGCATCGTACCCATCCTTTGCGTACCCGTTTCGATCGTCCCGAGCTCCCGCTTCAGCGCCTTCAGCTCGCTGGCCCGGGGGCTGGCCAAGGGTGTCCCTGGCCCGGGGTGCACCCCGTATTCTTGGGGACTTGGAGATGGGCACTGACACCAGCTCGGGGGCATGCCTCTACCAGGGGATTCGAAGATGCTCCTGGATTCCGGTGTCGATGGTACATATGTCGGCCCGTCGGCCACCAAGGAGGCCCGAACCTCACCACCATCGCCGAGATCGGGGGCGCCTTCCCCTGGTGGAGGCACACCGCCGACGGCGAGCGTTTTCTCATTCGGCGCTTCGACATTGGGCGGAAGGGGGGGGGAGGAGGATGGGGGGCTTTGGCGCTGGACCTCTTCTTAAATTGCGACTCTTTGCAGCCGCGCGTCCGATGCGGAGGAGGCCCCACCCGCCCGGAACAGGCACCCAAAACAGCCAAGATCTGCTCCACGAGGGGGTGGAGGGGGGGGGGGACGCGAGGGCCTGCGCCGATCGGCAAAGCAAGGAATCAGAAAGCAATCACATGCTGGTGTTTTGGGAGCGGCCAAGAGGAGGGTGCCCAAGAGGGGGGGTGCAAATCATGACCGGCGGCATGTGCGCGGCCCAGCGGGGGGGCCAGGAGCCAGGAATATAGCGAAATAAGAAGAGGCGCCATGACATCTAAGGAAATATCATGGCCCACTCCATGATATCCACCCCCCCTTAGTCATCACCCCCCTCTTTTCCGCCCCCGAGTGTTGGTGCCCACCTCTGCGCCTGCGATACTCGAAGGGAATAGGGGAACAAAAAGTGACATAGACATAAAACTCGGAGGTCCGCGCGGATTGCTCGGATCGGCGCTGGACCCCCCTCCCTGGCGCGCGGAGCGCGCCAGGGGCGGCGCCGGAGGCGCCGCCGGGGGCCCCAGCGCCGATCCGAGAAATCCGCGCGGACCACCGAGTTTTTATGTTTATGTCACTTTTTGTTCCCCTAGGGAAGGCCCCGGGTGGACTCCGGAGCACCCCCCTCCGCGGCCTGCGGAGGGCCCTCTGGGTTCGCGGCGCGGGCCCGGCTCGTCCGGCGGAATGGTTTTTTGTTGCTCCCCCAAATGCGGCCCACGGGAAGGTCCCGACCCCCTCCCTCTTCCCCCTTCCTCCTCCCTCCTCCTTCTCCTCCTCCTCCTCCTCCTCTCCTCCTCCTCCTCTCCCTCCTCCCCCTCCTCCAACTCCTCCTCCTCCTCCTCCTCCTCCTCCTCCACCTCCTCCTCCCCCTCCTCCTCCTCCTCCTCCTCCTCCTCCTCCTCCTCCTCCTCCTCCTCCTCCTCCAACTCCTCCTCCTCTTTCTCCTCCTTCTCCTCCTCCTGCTCCTCCTCCTCCTCCTCCCTGATCGGCCGGTCCCCTCCTCCTTCCCCGTCGTCGTCACCTTCTGGCCCCGTCCCCTTCCGTGCTGTTTTGTTCCCCCATCAAATGCGGCCTCTCCCTTATGGAGAACATCGTGGAGGCCTCGCGTAACAACCTGAGACCTGATTTGCGTCGGATCCACGTCGGATTTTCGTCGGGTTCACGTCGGACTACGTCGGATGTACGTCGGATTTACGTCGGACTGACTCCGATGATCTACTACTACGCGCCGCTCGAGGCCTCCAAGATTTTCCTCATGACCTCCCGTGTCGTTTTTGTTCGCCCGTGAGGCCGAAACCCGATACGGGCCGAAACCACGGGGCCCAGAAGCCAGCACTGAAGGGAAACGACCCAGATCAAAAGCAAGAAACAAACAAATCGTCGGAGGTCTGAGGGAAACTGGGGGCATGACTTGGAGAAGCCCCAGGTTTGCTAACGGCCGTCATGGTTGTAACAATGGCTGAAGCTCTTGGAAGCCTCTGCAACCCCTCCGTAGCACATGCAAATCCCTCTTGGTACATGATGCTACATACTCCTAACCTTGCTACTGCGTTTGTCACCTCTCGCTCATGCAACTCATAAGACCAAGCTGCTGACACATTAGACACGTCAGGAGTACACAGCAGAGGCATCCAGGGGAGCACCGAAGTGTAAGCAGGGGCTCCCACGATGACCGTACGCAGAGTACGCAGAGTACTGACAAGCATAAGCATTCGGAGATCCGCGCGGGTTTCTTGGATCTGCGCTGGACCCCCCTCCTTGGCGCGCGGATCCCGCCAGGGGAGTCCAGAGCGCCGATCCACAGAATCCACCCGGACCTCCGAAAGTTCATCCATCTAATCCAGATTTCGTAATAAAGGGAGGGGGGTCTCATTTCGGGGGGGGGTCTTTTCCAAGCTGTCTTGGAGGGCCTGGGGGGATCTGGGGACGATGTTTTGGAGGGTTCTCCCACGGGGGGGGGGTCTGAAATGGCTTGTCTTGGAGGGTCCAGACCCCCCCCATTTATTGTGAAATCTGGAGTATGCAATGTGCACTTCTCTGGCGTGATAATCTTTGCTTGCTCGCGATAACGGCCCCGCATAGCCCCCCCCCACGCCCCTCCCGCCCCAGTCGCGCCACGATCGGCGCCAGCGCCCTCTACAGCCGGCCCGCACCAGAAGCATGCATGCGAGGGCCCTGGACGCCCAGGTCGAAGCTTTCCGAGCGGGGCGCGGCCAGCGAAAGGCGCCAGGGATGGGCCGAGGAGGCAAGGAGGCAGGGGTGCCCTTTGGACGGTGACGCCCGTGGTCGCCAGGGGAGGTAAAAGACAGGCTCCGAGCAGCACCCCAAGCGCGGGCAAGATTTATCCAGTGGAGGCCCGTCCACAAGAGACCTTCCACAAGAAACCCAACCCTGAGACCTCAGGACGTCCATTAATTCTTGGAGTGAGAGCGTCACGCTTTCCACAGCAAAACCATCGAACCCCAGGAAACCCAGGGCACCCTGGAGGCAAGCAGGGTGCTTCTTGGCATGGGTCTCCACTGTATTCATGCCCACTGCGTCTTGGGCTTTCTCCCGGAGGGGGCGCCACACGGCCGAGGCGCAGTGGATGTGGCTGCAAATCTGGCTTCTGGGGGCCAGATTCTGGTCCACATCGACTGCGCCTCTGGTGCCTGGGGGAGGGAATACGAAGCTCCAAGACGCGTTGGATGTAGGATGCGAATCTTGCCCGCACTGCCCCTGCCCATTTGGAGCAGGACGCGCTGTCGGTGCCGCCGCGGGCGCTGCCCGTTTGAGACACGAGGCCGCCTGCCCAGCAACGGCCACTGTCGGCCTTGGGTCACATCTGCCGTTGGGCCAGACGCACCCCGCGCAGCACCCGACATGGTGGCCCGGAGCTCGTACTCGAGCGCCAAGTCCCGGCGCTCCGTCAGCCGGGCCACCTCGCCCGCGTGCTCCTCGCGCAGCCGGGCGAGCTCCTGCCTCGCGGCCTCGGCGCCACCCTCGGCCCTGGCGACCCTTGCCCTGAGGTCATGTGCCTCCACCTGGAGGGTTCTCCAAATGGGGGAGGGGGAGGGGAAGGAAGAGGAGCAGGAGGATGAGGAGGAGGAGGAGGAGGAGGGGGGGGGAGGAGGAGGAGGAGGAGGAGGAGGAGGAGGAGGAGAGGAGGAGGAGGAGGAGGAGGAGGAGGAGGAGGAGCAGGAGGAGGAGGAGGAGGAGGAGGAGGAGGAGGAGGAGGCGGAGGAGGAGGAGGAGGAGGAGGAGGAGCAGGGGGAGGAGGAGCAGGGGGAGGAGGTGGTTCGGCCGAGCCCCTGCGTTCCGCCCCTCCTTGTCCGAGGGGTGGGCCGCACGCGGAGGGTGGGCCCCGCGGTCAGCAACTCCCTGGCTCCGCGCGCCGCGGAGGCCGACCCCGACGGCACGCCGTGCATGCCTTGCGAGCGGCTATAGTGGATGCGGCCAGCGAAAGCCGCCGAGGATGGACCGAGGAGGCAAGGAGTATGCAATGTGCACTTCTCGGGCGTGATAATCTTTGCTTGCTCGCGATAACGGCCCCGCATAGCCCCCCCCCACGCCCCTCCCGCCCCAGTCGCGCCACGATCGGCGCCAGCGCCCTCTACAGCCGGCCCGCACCAGAAGCATGCATGCGAGGGCCCTGGACGCCCAGGTCGAAGCTTTCCGAGCGGGGCGCGGCCAGCGAAAGGCGCCAGGGATGGACCGAGGAGGCAAGGAGGCAGGGGTGCCCTTTGGACGGTGACGCCCGAAGTCGCCAGGGGAGGTAAAAGACAGGCTCCGAGCAGCACCCCAAGCGCGGGCAAGATTCATCCGGTAGGAGCCCGACCACAGGAGACCTTCCACAAGAAACCCAACCCTGAGACCCCAGCGCGTCAACTGATAGGTGGTGTGGGAGCGTCGCGCTCTCCATCGCAGAACCATCGACACACAGGAAACCCAGGGCACCCTGGAGGAATGCAGGGTGCTTCTTGGCATGGGCCCCCACAGTATCGCGTCGCTCAGCTCCGCGGGACCACCTAGGGAAACGAACAGTGGCATGAACAGAACAACTCGGAGGTCCGCGCGGACTTCTCGGATCGGCGCTGGGCCCCCCTCCTTGGCGCGCGGAGCGCGCCAGGGGCGGGGCCGGGGGCGCCGCCCGGGGTCTCCAGCGCCGGTCCGAGAAAAATCCGCTGGGACCTCCGAGCGTTTATGTTTCAGTCACTGTTCGTTCCCCCACCACCGCTTGGGGGCTGGGGCGCGGTCAGCGCGTCGCGCGCCGGCGCCGAGGTGGGCCAAGAGCCGGCGGCGCGACACGCTGAGCCGCAGTTCCTGGTTGGGCGCAGAAGGTCGAGCGCAGAAGGTCGGCTGGTTGAGAGGGCTGGTTGAGAGGGCTGGTTGAGAGGGCTGGTTGAGAGGGCTGGTTGAGAGGGCTGGTTGAGAGGGCTGGTTGAGAGGTTGACCCCCGTTGAGAGGGCTGGTCGAGCGCAGGTGGTCGGCCCTGAACCGTCCCTCTTGCCCCAGTCCCCTCTTCCCGGCAACCGTGTGGTGGCGGACGTTGTGGTGAGCTCGGGATCCCCAGCCACCTCACCGCGCGGTCCGCCACACCGCACGGTTCGGCACCTCGGGGGCTCCAGTCGCCGGAGGCGTCCTAGGAGAACGGCCCGAGTCCCCGAACCACGCGGCGACCCCGAATCCCCACTGGCTCACCACGCGGTGCTTTCACCGCTTTCAGCATGGGAGGAGGAGGATGAGGAGGAGGAGGAGGAGGAGGAGGAGGAGAAGGTGTAGGAGGAGGAGGTGGAGGAGGAGGGAAACGGGTCCTGAGGGAAGCGGGTCCCGAACCCAGGGGCGAGATCTTCACCCTCACAGTTCAAGGGGCCCAAGGACACACAAACGAACACACACACACAATTCCCAGGATTCCCTATACTTGTTCCATATTTCCTGGGTTGTCATCTCTCTCCAATTCCCGGATTTTCCCATATTTTCCTGGGAGTCGACGATTAATTGTGTCTGTGTGTTTCTTTCTCTCCTGAACAGTCGCTCTCTCTGACAGTCTGCAGGCCCGTCTGGAGGGCCCCGAAAGGCCGAAGACGGCGACAGACCTCAGGAGCCGCTTCACTCAGGACCCGCCTGCCCCGTGGCGACCACCACAATTTTTTCAGTCGGGCAGGTGCTCCCACAGGAGGTATGCTCAAACATAGTGAATAAAATAGCCCGGGAACGATTCTTCGACTATGTTTGACAATCTTTGAGCATCTCTTGGCCATCTCGAATTTGTTTCGCCCAAGATCCGCCTGTAGGACATGGCCTGACCTTGCCCGAGCTCGGGGCCCCCGGTCTTTGTCGGGAGCGGCCAAGAGGGGGGTGTCCAAGAGGGGGGGGTGCAAATCATGACTGGCGGCATGTGCGCGGCCCCGCGGGGGAGGGGGGGGGGGCCAGGGACGCAATGAACTAAGAAGAGGCGTCCTGAAATCTGGGGAACTATCATGGCCCCCGCCATGATATCCCCCCCCCTAGTAGGGGCCTCCTAGATGGGGTCCGAATAGATGGGGTCGAAGGATCTCGCCGCATCGCCGATACATCGGCGATGCATCGGCGATGCATTGGCGATGCATCGGCGATGCACCGGCGATGCATCGTCGACGTGGGCGATGCATCGGCGCCGTCGATGTGAAGCGAATCGGGAGCCACATCGAGCCGCATCGGCGATACATCGGCGATGCGGCGCTCTACTCCGACCCCATCTAGGAGGCCCAGACCTAGTCACCACCCCCCTCTTTGCCGCCCCCGGTCTTTGGCGCCCCCCGGCCCACGTCCAGCTCCCAGAGCCGGCCCTCCGCGGCCCGCAGGGCCGCCTCGTGCTCCGCCGCCTGCGCGGCCAGCCGGCCGTGCAGCCGCGCGAGCTCCTCCGCGTGCGGCTCCGCGGGCTCCGCCGCGGGCCCGCGCGCCCGCGGCGAGCCCCGCGCGCCCTGGGGAGCGGCTGCTCGCAGGAGTGGCCCTGCCCACTGGGATGGGCGCGGGGGTTGCTAAGGGGATAGAGGGGGTTTATCGGTGGACGCCCAAGGGGTTGTACCTGGCCTAACCTAGCTTATTAGTGGGTTGCTGATGCTCGAAGAAGCTTCGGGGTATAGCCATCCAGGCTAACTGGTCTCTGCCCACTTAGCGGAGTTGTCTAATCCCCCTAAGCCACTCGGGGCATGTGCAACCCACTTATAAGCTAGGTTAGGCCAGGTATAACCCCTTGGGCGTCCACTGATAACCCCCCTATCCCCTTAGCAAACCCCGCGCCCATCCCAGCAGAGTCCCAGACCCCCTCGAGTCCTGAACAAATCACGACGGGAGGTTTTTCGTGTATGTTCGGCCTCCGGGGGCCTTCGCCAGGCCTCGGGACCGTCAACAGAATGGCTCGGGCTGAAAAACCGGTCCTGGGGAAGGGGTCCAGACCTCTGGGGGTCCCCGTTGTGCAAAAATGACGACGTCGGGGGTCTGGGGTCGGCGGTGGACACACCTCCCTTTCGTAAACCTCCCCTCAGGGAGAACGGCCTGGGACTGAACCCGACGGGCCTGGACCCGCAAGAAGGACGGCCGCGGCGCCGCCTCGCGAAGCGGAAACGGCCGATTCCTCAGTCGACGTGTCAGGGTAGGAGGTCTGCCCACCCCCGACAGAGATCCGAGGAGGCGATGCTCTCCGTCCGGCGGCCCGGGGGCCATCAAGAGCGGATGCGGGGCGAGAAGCCAGCCACGGGGGAGGGGTCGCGGCCTCTGGCGCCGCGGACTGACAACATCGGATCGGCGGATGTCTGGGAAGGCAGGACGTGGCCTCTGGTGCGCGGCTCAACGGGGAACGCGGGGTGGCCAGACCCAGACGCGCAGGCCATTTGCTACCACCTCGCGCTCGGCGATCTCAGGGGGCCCCACTGGGCCCGCACCAGAGGACACTCCGGCAGGAGGCCACTCTTACGTGTAGCCGACCTGACCCTCGAGAGGGGGCTCCAGAAGAAGAACACCCGCACATCCGCCACCGCGCCTTGTGCATGTAGAGGCGTGGAAACATGCCAAGGTCTGTCATTTGCGAAAGAGCACAGCCCCATCATGTGTCAACTCGCCTCAACCAGCACAGTGAAAAGGATTCGCGCTGCCGCTACACAGTGCCCCCACACACATGACAGAGCTAAGCAAGCCGGATGCCAACGGTTCCTTTCGAATGGTGCCCCATCCTCGCGAATGCCCAGGCTTTTGTGGTAGAGCTCGTGTACTCTAAGAAGGGCCCCCCCCCCTCCCGAGGTCGCAGACTGCTGCGTGCATCCCCCTTCTCACCAAGGCCTCTTCCCTCAGTGCCCGCTCGAGGATGGTACATTTCCAGCAGGGCAGCTACCGCCGACCCCCCCCTTCCACACGTGACCGCTCGAGGATGGTACACTTCCAGCATGGTGGCTACCACCGAGCCCCCCCTTCCACGCGTGACCGCTCGAGGATGCTGCACCTCCCGCATGGCAGCTAATGCCTGAACACCCCTTCCACGCGTGCCCGCTCGAGGATGGTGCACCTCCCGCATGGCAGCTGACGCCTGAACGCCCCTTCCACGCCCACTTGCTCGAGGATGGTGCACCTCCCGCATGGCAGCTGATGCCAGAACCCTAGTTTCCACGCCCACTTGCTCGAGGATGGCGCACTTCCCACATGGCTGCTACCCCCTACTGCTACCCTTCATCCCACGCGCACCCGCTCGAGAATCCCGCACGTCCTGCAGTCCGAGGCGCTGCTCCCAAGCGCTCCAGGGCCTCTCGGGCCACAATCCCGCGTTGAAAACAGTGGATCTGCGTCACGAACTTCCAAGACGGCCCGTGCAGGCAACCAAGGACCTAAGATGGCTCAAGATGCCTTGAAGACGGCCCAAGCTAGCCCCAAAGCGGCCGACCACTGCTTCACGACGGCCCGAGATGACTCCAAGAGGGCCCAACAAGCCACGGGAGGACTTCCAGTAGGGTCCGAAGAAGCCAAGATCATTGACTTTCGCATGGCTCCAGGAGTGTGGAAGGGGACGGGC